GGGGGGGCTCTTGGGAAAAAAGGTTGGGAACCCCTGGTGTAGGAGTTACATGTGACTGTGCTGATTAATAAAGATTGAAAGCATACTCTGCATGTTGTTTAGTATATGAAACCCTATATATAACCCTAACCCTAACCCACTTGAGTTGTGGAATCTCATTTTGGCTGGGGCACTAGTCAATACAAAAATTACAAAACACATAAGGAAAAAAAAAACATAGCATACACTTCACATACAGCTCTCTTACAGCTGTTAACAAGAATAATTGGCTACAGTGTTCCCTGGATAATAAATCAAATACAGCTATTGTACAGGTAAATCAGCACAAATGCACTAATTAAAACAAAATAAACATTGATTTATGAGAGAATAAGATTATTCTAAATGTAAAAACAGCTTTATATAAAACTGACCTGGGTCAGGTCAGGTGGTCTGGCGTCTTGTCTGGTGATGGAAAAAGCGGGAAAGGGGTTAATGCGAGTTAGGAGGGAGGGACCGTATCTGGAATCACCTCGTAGGGTAAAGCGTTCATATTATACATCCATGGGGTAAAGCAGTCATTTTTAAATATTGGAGGCTTCTAAAAAAGAATGTCGATATACTTTATACATTCAGAAGTAAATGCACACTAGTATTTTCAATAAAAGTGCATATAGTTTTAATCTTATGATTTTACCCATTGTGCAGAATGGCCCCATTTCACAGTAAAAGGCTATATCTAGAATTATTGAATTGTTTATTAGGAATTAATGTGGTTTTCACTTAAATGCTGCTATAAATGTATGTATATACACTTCTATGTATCTTGTCAATTTCAATACACTAGTTTTATCTTAATCTATAATTCATAACATCATTATTTAGTTGATTATATTTTGTAGGATTATAATGTATCAGCGAAGTAGACCTTTAGTTTTTCAATAAAAAGTTATAAAGACACTAAGAGTTATGTATTTAAGTATAAAGCACATTATTCTATGTTTAAAAATGTATAATATAAAAAAGACTATACAAGAGGTTTTAGTAGCTCAAATAGACACAATAAACTCCAACAGCACTGTTCACCAGGAACTATAATCTTTATTTTTTAAAACAATAAAACATACAACACTTTATGAAAATAAATACATCCTACAAATCTGAGGAGCTGAGTAATCTCACATGTTGTATTACAAGTATTTTCCTTTGGAGGCATGATTGTTTTTTTGTTATTGAAATGTAATTTCAAATAATCCATTACATTTGGCACAAACAGACGTTTACAGTGATGAGACAGGACGTTGAGGGAACCATGGAGGAGGAAGAAGATTTCAAGCATGATATATGAAAAAACAACAAATTAGGTAAAATGAACTGAAACAAGGGGTGTGTGTGTTTATGTTACTGTAAATGAAGATGCACATGAAGCCACCCCTCTGATCGCAGGCAGATAACAACCTGGGTCATTTTAAAGTCTCTGCTGAACTCCGATACAAGTGCAGAAATACATTCATACGAGTCCCTTTAATCTAGTTCTCTCAAAAGGCAGACATTAATGTTTTCAAAAGGTTTCACTTTTGAATGTAGGGGGTCAAATCAAAAACATAATAAAAGGAGCTTAAAGACATCCCTTTATCCCATTATTTAGCTATTGTAACTCAGCCTTTCAAATAATCAATCAACATTATATTTGTATAGGTTTACCTCATTGTCCACTATCACACTGTAGTTGTGAAACATTCTTGGACATTCAACTCCATTTCAAAAAGGGAATCGTTTAATATTTTGGGAAATACGCTTATTTGCCTTCTTCAGTCAGTCAGTTGAGAATATAAACGCTAAATATGATACTACTCTCGGCAGCTGGTTAGTTTAGCTTAGCATAAAGTCTGTACACGTGGGGAAACAGCTGGCTGGCTCACAGTTCCTTTTTTAAAATGTCCCTACTAGCACCTTTAAAGTTTAACCAACTTACCGCGCATGGTTTTCCAACTCATCTACTTCTCGGGAAGAACACGCTTATGTCCTTGGAAATCTAACCATCCTTTAAAAATGTGCACTGAAGTTTCTTCATTTCTTATGGTGGTCTAAAACCTTTTCCTTTTTAGGCAATCTGCAACAGATCAATTCATTTTTTAAATAATTCTTCTGGAGGTGATTGCATACGGTTTATTGTGTGGAGGTGCAGAGCAGGTTGCTATTACTAAAATGAAGATCGAGTATTTGTCTTACAAATTAATGTAAGAATTCATACATTCATTGCAGGTGAACTTGCATTATTTTCTGTAATAGTGTCAAACACTGAACACGAGGTCTTCATGGTAACAGTGTTAAAGGTCATTGTGCGCTTTGTTTGAAGATTACGACTGATAGTAGGTCTGATATGGAGGTATATTGAGGAAAAAACACATCAATGCAAAGTGTTGTAGGTACAATTTAAAGCCAGTCTGGGGAGGGGTCCTGCACTGAAACTGGACAGGCAGGTGAGAGCAGAGGAGAGGGAGAGCGGAGGGAGGTGTAAACCAGTTAGATTTTTCCTGAGAATGCATCCAGATCGAACGCTGCGTCCACTAAGCGCTGCAGCTCCGTGAGGTGAGTCTTTTTGTTTCCAGTAGCTGGAGCTGCTGCAGGGTCACGACCAGCATACCTGCAAACATACACACACAGACACACAAAGTGACCATACATTCAAAGCAGAGATAGTTCCTGAAACTGTATTCCTGTAGAACTCACCAAACGGGGCGGGTATGGTTGGTGGTGGTGCAGATTCGGGGCTTGACGTAGTCGTGGTAACCCTGGTTCTTGTGCTCTTCCTGACACCACACCAGGTCAGCATTCGAGTAACGATCAGTCTCTGCTTTCACCAGATCAAACGGGAAGGGGGAGAGCTGAAAACAGAGAGAAAGGTCTGATGTTAATTATATATTTGGGCGATAATCCATTGTCATTCCCATTGGGGATACGGGGGACAAATGTTAGTTAGCGTTAGCCGTTTGCTACAACTTCATTCGTAAATTGTCAGCATTAAATGTGTGCTAAACTATCTGTTAGCAGTTCCTGTTAGCAGTGTACCCATCCATATACAGATAACTATCACAGGATTCATTTGATACTAAAGAAAACGTCTTTCTACTCGGATTTCCCAGCTAATTTGTTTTATTTACTCACAATGTAAACCAGAGATTAACTATTTGTATATCTTTAGAAAGTGAAAGTTAAGACCCCAAAAACAGAATAAATAATTTACAATTGTGATCATTAGTCTTGACCGAAATACTTGTATGTCACAAGTGAAGCTGCCTTTATACAAACCAGGCACATACATCACCTCCAAAACTGTTTTTGTTGTAAAACTGAAATCCACACACCCACTGCGCGTTCCCTTTCCCAATTTCTCCTCTTCAGTTTTAACTCTATACTTATAAACACCACCTTTATTCTTTTGTTACCTGTTCGATGCGAATCACAGCCACAGTGTCCTCCATGCCTCTGTTTTTGCGTTCCCGGGTCAGTTCATAATAGATCTTCCCGCTGCAGAAAACGATTCTCTTCACCTTTTCTGGGCTGGCAGCTGCAGGCCCCTCGTCTGGGATTAGACGCTTGAAGATGGTGGCTGCAGGATAACAAACACACACAAACTTTAAATAACACAGCAAGAAACCAACCAGTATTTTAGAGGGAAAGACCTCACCATCTTCACTTTCCTGCCCATCTTTCTGTCAGTACTGACCTGGCAGCATGTCATCAAAGCTGGACTTGGCCTCAGGATGGCGCAGCAGCGACTTGGGAGTAAACACTATCAGCTAAAGAAAGAGCACAGGGAAATGCTCAGTGAGCTCGAACCACATTATCTTGTGCTTTGATCCGTTTAAGGTGTGTCACTCACAGGTTTCCTGAAGGGCTGCAGGATCTGTCTGCGGAGGACGTGGAAGTAGTTTGCCGGAGTGGAGCAGTTCACCACGATCCAGTTACAGTCATACAGCTGATGCACTGCGAAGTCCTGAGTGATTTTCTGTGAGAGAAAGTAGAGTTGCAATTCAGAGCTAAGGTAGAAGTCATTACCAAAGAAACATGCAGTCACCTGTTAATATTCTTTGTCTTTTCTTTCTTTTCATGGAGAATCATTCTGTTCATTTTAGAACTGCCCTAACCCTTCAATACTTAGCCTATTTGGTTCACATCTTGGCAAACGAAAAGTATGATGAACTCTATAAACTCTCCATATAAAGTTGCAAGGCTCCACATCTGATCATGAGGTCAAACAAACTTCCGTGCAACATCAGATAAACAAGGAAAGTCACCTCACTATCTACACCTCCAGGATTGTAAATCAGCGTCATGGTAAGTCAGGTTGCTATGGTCACTAGCCATTTCTGATTTCACCATAAAGACAAACAAAGAGCTGGACTGAAAAGTGTCATTCTAATGAATATGAGCATCATCTAAAGTTATAAGGAGCATTGACAGAGGGAGAGAAATGTTATGTTATTGACACTCACAGGGAAAACATCAGGGTCATCATTGCACATCTGTAGAAACCTCTCAGGGCGGGCAGACGAGTGCTCTGGACCCTAAGAGAAAGGGAAACAAATGAACACCAATCAATAATCGACAGGTAAGATGTTTTGAACAATCTCCTGTGATAATGTTGTTCAGCACTGGTGACATTGCAGCTCCATGAGACAAAGACAAGTCAGAATGTAGCAGATCAAGTTTCTCAGTTCCTACCATCCCCTCCATGCCGTGAGGAAGCAGCAACACAATGCCGTTCTGTCGGACCCACTTGGCCTGACCCGAGCTGATGAACTGGTCGATGATACACTGGGCTGTGTTATTAAAGTCTCCAAACTGGGCCTCCCACAGCACCAGCGCATTGGGACTGGCCATGGCAAAGCCTAGTTCAAAACCTGCACAAAGAAAACGGGCACAAACAGAGCAGGTTCAGTAAATAAAACACTATCCAACATTTATATAAGGTTTGTTCTCCATCTTGCTCTACTTCCAAAGTAAATACAATCCCAAGTAGCTTCCCTAGAAAGAGTTACCCATCAAGTTACAGGTACCACAGATTCAAAAGTACCAACAGTTTTGCGTATGCTACTCACCTAGTACTCCATACTCAGATAGAGAGCTGTTGCACACAGTGTAAGGAGCTTGATCAGGAGAAACGTAGTTCATGGGGATGCAGATCCTCTTGTCAACGTTCTGGTCGTGAAGAACATGGTGTCGATGGCTGTGGAGGAAATCATTTAGTCAAGTCAGTTCAAGTGAATTTGATTTATATAGCACCAAATCATTACAGAGGTTGTTTAATGGCACTTTTTATACATAGCAGGTCTTATTTTCCAGTTGAACGTACAGCAGTAGTTAGTTGACAGTTCTCATAGTGTGGGGGGGGGGGGGGGGGGGTTTCTCTGAAGTCACTTTTACACAAAAGTTGCCCAAAACACAGAGAAAAATACATTTACAAAGCAGTTAATGTTTTTTGTGTCAGGATTACCTGAACGTGCCTCTCTCCACATCCTGTCCACTGAGGCGAATGTGTATCCCCTCTTTGAGCAGAGAGCCAAAGGCCATGTATTCTCCAAGAGCCCAGTCACACACCCGCTGATCCACCATATTTGCACGGCCCTTTAGGATACGACTCAAACCTGAAACATGGAAACACGGCATTCAAAAACAGACATGACAGCCCAATAAGGGGTTGTTTGAAACAGGAGAAGATCATAAAGTACCTCCGTGGATCGTGAAGTCTTCCACAGGCACAGAAGAAGCGATGTTTCCAATATGTTTGAGCTCCTCTTCACTGATGCCAGTCGGAGGGCTGTGCATAGTTTTGGGTTGTCCATCCAGGTTGAAGAAATCTGCAGACAGACACACAAACACATCACAAGGAAGAAATGTCCAGACCACATTCTGTAGAGAAGACATACAAGTTAGAACACAAATAAAAGAACAAGACTCCTTACCAGGCCACGGTGAGTCCAGCCAGTGTTTGATGTGAAGGATCTTCTCATCTTTGGAGCGGTTGTAAGCATCTTCGCATATTTTGTCGTACCTCGCCACTTCCTCCTGAAAAAGATGAATGCAAGTTCATTGAAAACTTGAATATATCCGTCTCCAAAGAAGCAACTTTCTGTCTTGTGTTTAGTATATAGGTCTCCAAACATATTCACCTCCTCCAGAGAGTTACAGCGTTTGACAGCCTTTGATTTTGGCATGACTTTCAGAACAGGAAGGATGTTAGCTTCAAACAAGTGACCTCCTTAATGTCTCAAATAACTGACATGATTAATTGCCCTCTAAATCTCCTGTCTTTGTACAGTACTTCATTCAAATCCTCTTTTAAGTGAAGCTCCTCACAGGAATTGGAATTAGAAATGCATAAACTCTTTTTTTGTGTCTGAAAGTCATCCATTATTCTGTCTAGTCCCTGCTGCTATCACAACAGCTTTTTTCCATTTGCACCTCTCAAACGCACAATTCCTTGTCAGACTATTCAATCCCCCTTTCATTGAGATAGAGATGCTTCATAATGTCTCACAGAGCCGAGATGTCTTTCACATTGCTGACAATGAAACCTACATGGTTTTTTCAATTTGCAAAAAAAGCTGTACATATTGAGCGTGCTTGATAAGCAGTAGCTACAGCAGGGCAGGCTGCTTTACCTCATATGCCTGTGTTGTGACCACTCCCTCAGCAATGACTTTCTCAGCAAACTTCTGCAGGACCCCTTTCTGCTTCTTGATCTGCTTGTACATGAGCGGCTGGGTGAACATCGGCTCATCCATCTCATTGTGGCCATTACGTCTGTAACACACCTGAATGTGAGAAAACAAGAGGTTAGGCATTTTCTTATGTCAACAATCAAGTGACCAATTCAGTACTTCATCTGTGTCACCCTTAATTGCTCTATTGACTCGTTCAGGTCAAAGTTCAAGGTTCCCATTGTCTCATATGTATAACCACATTATGTTAGTTATTTATGCATTTTTTTTTTTGTATTCCCTGTTCCTCTATGGTTAATAAACCTGAACTGCTTTCTTTGCCTGTCCCCTTACGCCACTCTTAGCCTCTCGACCCCAATAACAATGTTTTTTATTTATTAAAATTGTTTCTATATTGTAGATTAATACTGAATACATCAAAACTATAAAAGAACACATATGGAATTATCTAGTAAACAAAAAAGTGTTACAGAAAATCCAGAATATGTTCTTTGCTGGCTACTGCGGAATGCTGTGGTAGCCATGCTGGTTAAGTGTGCCTTGAATTCTGAATCAATCACCAACAGTGTCACCAGCAAAGCCCCCCCACACCATCACACTTCCTCCTCCACACTTCACAGTGGGAACCAGACATGCAGAAACCATCCGCTCACCTTCTCTGCGTCTCACAAAGACACAGCGGTTGAAACCAAAAATCGCAAATTTGGACTCATCAGACCAAAGTACAGATTTCCACTGTCTAATATCCAATCCTTGTGTTTCTTGGCCCAAACAATTCTCTTCTTCTTCTTGTTCATCCTCAGTAGTGGCTTCTTTGCATCAATCGACCATGAAGGCCTGATTCACGCAGTCTCCTCTGAACAATGGGTGCTGAGATTTGTCTGCTGCTTGAGCTCTGTGATCATTGATGTGGGCTCTAATCTGACGTACTTTAATTTGCGGTTTCTGAGGCTGGTAACTCTGATGTATTTATCCTCTGCAGCAGAGCTAACTCTTTCTCTTCCTTTCCTCATGAGAGCCAGTCTCATCATAGCGTTCGATGGTTTTTGCGACTGCGCTTGAGGATACATTCAAAGTTCTTGACATCTTCCGGATCGACTGGCCTTCATTTCTTAAAGTGATGATGGACGGTCGTTTCTCTTTACTGAGTTGAGTCGTTCTTGCCATAATATGGATTACAACAGTAGTCAAATCGGGCTTTCCACTGAGCGTCACCCTACCTCTGCACAACACAACTGATGGTCTCGAACACATTAAGAAGGCAAGTCATTCCATAAATGGACTCTTGACAAGGCACACGTGTTCATTGAAAACCATTCCAGGTGACGACCTCATGAAGCTGATTGAGAAAAGCCAAGAGTGTGTAAATCTGTCATCAAGGCAAAAGGTGGCTACTTTGAAGAATATAAAATAAAAATCATATTCTGGATTTCTTAACACTTTTTTGTTAACTAGATAATTCCATATGTGTTCTTTCATAGTTTTGATGTCTTCAGCATTAATCTACAAAGTAGAACAAATTATAATAAATAAAAAACTTCGAATTCGAAGGTGTGTCCAAACTTTGGACTGGTAGTGTACTTTATCAAAAACAGCTGTTAGTTTATTTACCTTTCTAAAAGTGCCTTTGATTGAAACCTCCTGCTGACAGTTGACCAATTTTTTTAATGTAACATCTCTAGTTTCTCTCCCATGAACCTGTCCCCAGCTGCTGTCTCTCAATGTATCACTGGAGGATTTAGGCATGAACGTGACCTTTACTTTCCTCACAACCAGATTCTCAACTTCCTACATCTGTCAGGCTTCTCTTTCAAATTTCAACAAAGATGGATTGGTATATTGCTGACATTATTTGACTTGACAAAACACCTCCTATAAACTTACCAGGTCTACGACTACGTCTTTGTGGAAAGTGTTTCTCCATTCAGATGCCACTTTACACACATATATTACAGCCTCTGGGTCGTCTGCATTGACGTGGAAGATGGGTGCGTTGACCACGCGTGCTACATCTGTCGGATAAGGAGAGGAACGTGCCATCCTGGGATCTGTGGTGAAACCAATCTGTGTGGAAGAGAGTTTTAAATTACTACAATAACAGCTGTTATCATCATCAAGTGCAAAGTTGAAGACATTGTTATGATTTATTATGCCCTCAAACTTATAGAAAATAACATTAATGTAGCTGTACTGTTTTCTTTTCAATTTTGTTTTGGTAATATTCTAAATGACTTTAAAATCACAGTGTATGCTGAAATAAAATATGGACATGATAGCATGCTAGCTGTGAATAAAAAGACCTGGTTGTTGACCACCACATGAATGGTGCCATGTGTAGTGTAGGACGGCAGGTCAGACAGGTGGAAAGTCTCGTACACGATACCCTGGCCTGCAAATGCAGCATCACCGTGAAGCAGAATAGACATCACCTGTGAAATCATTCAATAGGTTACAAACATGTTAAGAACACAAGGAAAGGTGCTTCTCTTCTTCCATGTTTGAATAAACCTCAGTACCCTCTTGCCCTCAGTGTCTCCGCTGTAGAACTGCTCAGCTTTGGTCTTGCCCTGCACCACGGGGTCCACAGCTTCCAGGTGGGACGGGTTGGCCATGAGGGACATTGAGATTTCCCGGTCGCTGACCCGGTTCATCCTCTTGTGATACATCCCCAAGTGATATTTCACATCACCAGAACCCTGAGAGCAGAATATCACAAAAAAGTGAAACCCATCAACCTCAGGAAGACTGTTTAGCCTTACACTTATGGTTAATTGATGGCATTTAAAAGGAAAACAAAAATAAAAAATGATTGTCAGTTGAGGCTCTTTATCAAGTCAATAAATATATTTTCTTTTACAACAAACAAATAATCACTGAATACAAAAGAATCAACAGATTCATTGGAAATGGTCATTATCAGTCCTAGTGACCTGTTCAGACCTCATCAGCAGCCTCTAGCTTGGAGTCAAATTGGCAGAAGATTTGGTCCAGCTCTTTCCGGATCACGTTAGCGAGAACATTCAGCCTTCCTCTGGAGATGGAGAAGTTACATTAGGAAGGGAAATTCAAGCAAAGGCTTTTTCATCAGATGCTATCATGTGACAAAAAGGGTTGAAACCCCCCTAAACTGGAATCACTGAGTTTATTAGCGACACTGATATTCGTCAGGGATCAACTTCATAAAGTGGAATAACATCATTGTATCATTGTACATGTGAAAATACACATATTTAAAAAAAGAAAACACTCATACAAGACAGTTCAACAATAGTTATTAAAGGATGAAGGAGTTAACAAATCATGATCATAAATGTTTTAATGATCAAAAGTCTCATATCTAAGGTGGGAACATCTACTAAACCTTGATTTGATCTTTCCAAGCGTCAACAATGTGTGCATTCGGCAAACGCTGTAGGAATTGAAATAGATTTTGGCCCTGAAAAAGAGTGTTTGGTATCTTATTGGATAAGATGTAATGTCATTGTCTACCTGTGAGGCATCCCCATGATCACACTCTCCACTCCGCTCAGACTGGACATGTCGATGATGGTTTTGAGGGCCGGGATGAGCGATTCACAACCCTCCAGACCAAAGCGTTTCTCTGACGACCATTTCCTCTGGAGGAACTCCTCAAACCTGTGAAGGTGTGCTGCGTCACATTGTGGCTCAGAACATCTATCCCCCTGCCCAAACTCCCCCTGCAGCTGCTTTGCATGCTTTTATAGTTGAGGAGTATAAGGAGTGTTGAGGAATGTGTAGACAGACCTTGTGGAGCGGATCATTCTGGCCAAAAGAGTCTTCTTCTCCTCCAGACTGAACTGCATGATTCCAGGTGTCTCGAACTTCTCTCTGATCCACTGGCACTGCTCCAAGTCATTAATGAACATGAACTCTACTCCGATGTGTTGACAGTAGGCCATCTAAACGAGAGAGAAGAACGTTTTAACTCTACTCTTCACTATCATGTCCTGGTAAAGCTTGAAGCTGATCTCAGTGTTCACTTGGCTGCTCAAACGCATTAAAGGGGCCCTATTCCGATCATTTTCAGGTTCATATTTGTATTTTGTGCTTCTACTGTGACATGTTTACATGCTTTAATGTTCAAAGAGCTCTTTACTTTTCTCATACTGCCAGTGCTGCTACACCTTTTGTCACCCTCTGTCTGAAACCAGAGCCCAGTCTGCTCTGATTGGTTAGCTGGCCGGCTCTGTTGCTCATGTTAAATAATTGCTATCAAACATTTTATTTATTGCTATTATTAAATTACATTTTTGTACTAAATTTGTTTTTATCCTGTTATTATACTTTGAATGGCACCACTGCATAAAAGGTGTCCATTTTGACACATTTTAAATACTTTACTTCCAGTCGTCGGATAATCTCTCTGAGAGGCAGAGAGCTCTCGCTGCCCCCAATGAAAGTGGTGGTGGGGAGCCGGAACACCTTGTCCAGGTCGGATTCCACCAGTCCGTAAACACCTGTTTCAAAGACATTGACATGAGCAGAAAGCGTAGGCATGCAAATCAGGTCAAGGTCAGGCTTAAAAACAGCTTGGAACAGAAAAATACCACATGACTAACATATTATTAAGACACAGAAGAGGAGGAAACATCCGTAAATAGAAGATTATCTGGAATGTGTGACCCCTGCTTACTTTTTTTAGTTTACTTTTATTACCATTTAACTGCCTTAACAGCTGTCTCATCTGTCAGATTACATTTTGTCCAGAATACTAAAAACATGGGAGCGGTGGAGATGAGGAGGTGTCGGCGTTCTGGCGATTTACTCGGAAGGCTTCAGTCGAAGCTGCTGGGAGTCTTCACAGCAGCTTCGACTGAAGCCGGTCCCCAACTCCGGGGACTTCGGGTGGCAGTATACGATGTGAAGTTGTTCGCGGCCTGCCAGTAAACCCAAAGCAGAAGAAGAAGAAGTGAAGTCAGCGGCTTCATTTGCATAATCTTCCCTCAGGGACTTATTCCGGTGTGAACGTGATCTACTCTTTAGTTCCATGAGGGAACTAAGTGCTGGGAACTAAGTACAGCAAAGTACTTGGTGTGAAATCGGCAGAGACAAAGAAAGGAGAAAAAGTAGATTATGTTCTCATTATTGGATTATTAAGAGAGTTTGAGAACACCTCATTATATCAAATCGGTCACATAATTGTATCTTTTGTTCCCTGATGAGGCCAAAGCTCTCTTGGGGTTACTACAGAATCATCACTGAACTCAACACAGTTTTAAAGTGTCCCAGCTTTCAGGCCCCGAGGCTCTGGGCAGACCTGACAAACAAGATCAGACATGTGTCTTTCAAATCAGCTTGAAAGGTTTTCACCTGAAGCTGTGGCTTTTGGCATCTTCTTTTGTTTGTCTTTGTAATGCAATGTTAACTTTATTAATCTAGTTTCCATTTTGTTACTGCCTCCATCAGCATTATAAATTATGATAAAGCCTGACTTTATAGATCTGTTATTTGTGATGTTCTTGTAAGAATGCAAAGGGGGAAAAAAAGGTTTGGTTGTTAAATACTTTTTTTTATTCATTCATTATTTCTTCATCTATAAAATGTGCAATAAATTATACTGTGAATCTCACTTAAACGCTTGCTTGACAACTACAGTATATAGAAACTGGTTTATAAATGATCTGTTATTTGATTCATTAATTGATTTGTTCATATCTTATTTTTTTCACTGATGCATCAACTAAATTGTCACATTTTCTAACGTTCCTTGTGTTTATGACTTAATTTAAACAACTTGACAGGACATTGCTGACGTCACCTTTGACTAAACTGCACAGTATGTTAAACAAGGCACATTAAAAAGCAGCTTACGTGGTTTAAGCAGGAAACCAACAGGACTGATGGACTGATGGGTTGGATTCTGTGTGAGACACTATAGCTTGAGCTCGTGTTGATCATTCTAAAGCATGTTATGTACTGGATGCAGCAAACAGAGATAAGACTAAATGAAACAGAGGAGGAGGGGGGGGGGTGGGTGTATCTATGTGTGTGTTCGTACACCTCTGTCAGCAAATGAGTGCAGGCTGCTGTGCTGAGGACAGGGGGTTTACAATCCAATATGGCCGAGTCCGCTCTGTGTTACATAAGAGACCTTTAGACTCCCCTCTGTGAACAGCCCCTGCATGACATTTGAAAAAACACACTTGCTTTCTTTGATGATTGCAAAGTTTAAGCAGAATAATTGAATGCTATAATAAATGAGTGTCTGTGTCCAATCTAATCGCAGTAACATTTCAATGAAGAAGGCCCAGATAAGCCCGGATATGCTCCGTTTGATGCCACTGGCTGCTGAGCAAAGGTTAGAAGCAGCCGACAACACACACACGCCTCCTTTCCAAGCATTACTCAACACATTTTTCACATTTTCCACAAGAAGAGATGAAAACCAACATGGAGAAGAGCAGGGAGAACCACAACACCAGTTAATAAGCTAATGATAAACCACAGGAAAGTGGTTTCAGGAACACCACGCAGCGATAAAAGAGCAGAGAACAAGGTTTTAAGTTCTGCTCCGACCTCTTATCAGATTCGACAGACGTTCTTTAAAAAAAGATCAATCTGGAGGCATGGAGAGAAACAAACACACACACTGTAATTAAGTATTTCACAGAGCCTCTCATTAATTCTTTCAGGCTGATTTGGACCCCGAAACCGACCCATTGCTCGACCTCTGTGAACCTCAGCGCCACCAGGACAAAGCAGAACCCGGTGAGACTGAACAATGGCCCGAGTATCTGTGGAAACATCCTACAACAGCTCATAACAATCACCTGTGTTTGAACTCAGAGGCCTAACCTTTTCATGAGGAACAATGACAGTTCGATGCAGGCATGCATAACTCGCCACAGCAAAAACACACACACACACACACACACACACACACACACACACACACACACACACACACACACACACACACACTGTTTGTGTGAACTATTTGCACTCCTGCGACAAATCTGACAAGTCAGTGTTTGGTTAACACAGTAGTAACACAGTAGTAACATGTTTTCAAAACAGAAAACTGAATACCCAGTAATGAAATACCATGGAATTGGCTGATGTTGATCACTGCCCCATATATGGTGTTGTGTTAACAACCACCAAGCATGTCTTCTTATCTTGTTTTCCTCAGAAACTATAAAATAATATGCCTCACAGTATGTGCTGATAACAGGAGGGACATAAAGATATCCCTCAATAATAATCTGGTCAAATACATTTGAGGTATAAATAATTACAAAATAAATAAAAGCGAAGGCAGCCCATTTAGTAGGGCATACTTTACTTGAATGCTTTCTATCCCGTCCATTAGGGATGAATTATTGTGTCATAAATTGTTAGATATTTAGATTAAAGTAATAAGCATCAATAAAACATTATTTTGGGTTGACAGATTGTGCGAGGCGTTTGTCCTCCTCTAACACAACTCCCTTTGTCTTGTTATCTTGCCCTGTGTTTCACATTGATAGCTTCTTAAAAAGAGAAAGCCTTGGACCACGTGTTTATGACTTACCCATTACAATAACAAATAACTAATGCAGTTATTGCTGTTAGCAATTCTTTATCAGTCTCCTCTTCTATTAAATAATCTACTATGTCTGCATTCCGACCTCAGCACAGGGTGACTTCATTAAAAACACATGTGAGAGTCAATTTAACAAAACATATGGACACATTGTGTCGCCTCCAGCAACATTTTGAAGGCTAACCGTAGTTGTTATATTTGGCATATGAACTAATGAACTGCGGTGTAAAACATGTTGTCTGAGTTCATACCAACACCAACAATTGTAATGAGTTCATCCTCGAGTCATGTTTGTGACAAAATAGGGCCGACAAATGGACAACTCAAAACGTTAATTCTCAAAAACAAAATGTATCAAAAAGATACAAATCTAGGTAACAGTAAAACCTGAAAAACTGTTTGATAATTCATCGTCTATTAAACTATAGAAAAATGAGAATATACGCCAGCCAGAAGTTGATCTTTTAATGTCTAAAAATAATAACTTAATTATTTAAATATGTTTTTGTATAATATACATATTTTTGTATTTATCTTTCATTTGCTTAATTGTAAAATGCAGCAACTGTCATAAAACTAAATTTCCCCTGTGATAAATAAAGTAGAATGAAGATAAATACAATTCTAATTCATAAATACACCCCAAACATCCACAAGTAGGGCAGAAGTCCCTTTGTTTTAGGAAATGAGATCAGCTTTTGGCTACATCAATAGTGGTAGAGGAAAGGACTTTTTAAAATGAAATGGAAGCATTTTCACAAGAGTATGAGCAACTGCTCTGAAGCCCGTAGCTCCTCCTCATCTGTTTGTCACTCAGTTTGTTATGGGAGGGCTTCAGCTCGGCAGCCATGAAGCACTGCGGCTTCAACTCAGCCACGTGGTGACCTCTGACCTTAAGCAAACTCCATGAAAGGAGGAGTGTGTGTTGTTCAACGCAAGTAAGCCAAATAGGTGGGAGGCCGATGGCAGTGGGGAGCTCACTCGGGATAAATAACTGATGGATGTGTGACATGGACAACAGGAAATACAGAGTGGTAAACAGAGGAGAGTAGAAAGACACTCATTGAAAGGTGGTTGGTTTGCGTAAAAAGAGGAAAAAAGGGATCCAAAAAAAAATACAACAGGAAGTGTGAATGACAGGGACAGAGAGGAACACCTTCATAACATGTCAGGACGTTTAAATTTCTCACCAACGTTCTGGAAACCAACGGTACAAGGGGTATCGTCGAAGTCTACACAGCTGATCTCCAGGGGGTCCAGCTTGGCTATGTGATGCCCTCGTACCTACACACAAGGCAACGCAGCTCATTAAAAGTGTGTGGATGGTTTCACAGGTCAACCCATTCCTGCAGATCAGTGTCTGTCTGCTTTAGGAAACTGCTGACCACTTCCTACAAGATTTCCTAACCTATCTACACATGTTAGCAGAATCTTAAAAGCAGATGTAGGAAGTTTTTGTAAAAAAAAAGAAGAAATGTACTGCTAACAGACACAATGTTTGATTAACAGGACATTCATTAATTAAACACACTGATATACTCGTTGTGCAAACCTACAAAGTAAAACATCATATTAAATATTTCAAAATGTGCTGTTTACTTATTCTCTACTAAGATTCAGAGGCACATTTTCAACCTGACAATATTTTGTCACCGAATACCAGCTGCAATGCTTAAAGTACATAAAAGGCTTAGAAACGTATATTATCATCTATATAATAATATAACAGTAGTTTACAAATGAATACTTTTATATCTGATACTTTTACTTTTGTGTTTTGGCTTTATTTCATTATCCTGGATCCAAAAAAAACATTTAATTGAACATTGATTTTGTTATGTCTTTAAAAATATTGGTTGATACGTTGTTGTATGATATTTTAAAACTCCCAAACATCAGTATCAGACCCACAAATTCAGTATCTACCGTCTGAACTTAGCATAACTCTAAAATGCTTCAAAGTAATAATACTGTAAAGAAAAGTATGAAGAGGAACAAAATAATGTGTATAAAATATGTTTACGTTCTGAATTATAGTCAATGTCCCTGTCAGAAGATAGTGTGGAGTTCTAGAAATGATATAAGAGCTAATTCAGTGGTAAAAAGGATTGTACAAGTGACATAATCAGCTCAGGTTTAGTATACCTGGTATGCCCGTATGAGTGAATGCACGGCTTGATGATCCTGCACCAGTTTCTCCAGATTGGGCTGAGCCCCCATCAGGGCCTGGACCCCGGTCAGTCCCTGAGACGACCCACTGAGGGGGGGGGGGCTCTGATAGGCCGCACCAGGCGGAGCCCCTGCGTTAGCGTTACGGAAAAATATATCCCAGGACTGCAGGGAGAAACAGGAAAGAGAATAAAAGAAGGTTAGTACTCACCACAACATTTGAACAGTTTCTATCTGACGATGGCCCTATTTAAAACCCTATTTGGAGCCATCAAAGTGATCTTTATTTGATTTTATAACTTTTTACTGCAAATGTTGTCCTATGGGGGCCCTATGATATGCCTAGCAATTTCCACTTCAACACATCCAATAACTTAGAACCAAGAATGTCAATAAAAAGTCAGATAATCAGAAATATTTTTGCGAAACATTGTCTTTGAACCATAAATGTCTTAGCCAAATGTTGTGCCAGCCCATCTAGTTTATGTCGAGCAATTGCCTTGAATACTGGAAAATGTGATCTGCTGAATAACAAATAAAGACTAGGAGGATCATCAATGTCATGTGATTAGAAAAATGATCCTTGAGGTTTCCTTAATCTGTCACTGTGAGGAAGCACAGCATGATGAAAGAAACTTTTGTGTTAATCATTTGCCATGACAAACTGCTGGTGTCTTACTGAACGATGATAAGATATCCTGAATTACCCGGCTGCACTGTGAAGATGTTGCCTTGTTCTAGCTTAGAGATAACGATTAATGTACTATATTTTCCCAGCATTGCAAATGTCAGTGTGAGCTTGCAAAGAAGAATGTATTGTAACGTTTCTTCAGTACTGGCCTTACCTATTTGACTGAGCTTTCAGGTCCAACCATAAATGTTTGAATTGAATCAGTTTGGCCTATTGATGATGTGCTTTATAATACTGCAATTGCCACCATACATTTCAGGGCAATCAAAGAAAAAACATTGAGATATTTCAGTCCGGACCAAAGTTGTGCACACTGCACTATGTATACCTTGCATCTGTGTTTCTAACCAGAGAGGAGAGTAATTGGTTTATTTATCTCAGAGGCTTTTAGGATCAGTAGTCGCAGCGTAAAGGAAGCTTCTTTACTTCGCCTCTGAAGTGGCATATCAGCTTACAGGTAGAGCGTTACATAACATTTTTACTACGCCACCGTAAAGGGATATTAACTCTTGGAAGCACATGCCTCACTCCATTACTTGCAGACAATGAATGCATGGTGTCTGATATTACAGAAAAAACATCATGACTTGATCAAATCCCAACCAAAGATAAACAGTCTTTGAAGTGACAATGAATCAACAGTCTTGGACCAACCTTATATGTTTGTTCAGCATTATTTTCATGGCTCTCCATTGTGAAAGTGTGTGTCCAATGGTTCCAGTTTACTCCCCCTTATGATGTTTATCAGTTATCTGGATTGTTAATCTGAAGCTGTTTAACTTGATGAGCAACTTCTAGATAAGCTTTGGAACATTTAATCAGCCTTTCTAGTCATTTGAAATGCGTTTGTTAATGCTGGTTTTGTCTATAAAGTTACATTCAAAAGAGTTATTTAGTGTTGTTTTGACATGCCTGAAGCAACTCTATGTATAAGGTAATTCGTCGATTTACAGGAAGTTGTTGTTGGACTGGAGCCAGTATTTTAAATCAGCTCCAGGCTGTGGGTCTAACAGTCAACAGTAGAACTGGCTTAAGGCATGAGCAGTCCTAAAACAAGGGTACAACAACCCTCACATGAATGTATCTGACATACGTTGCATGAAAAAAAAAAACATGTATATTACAAATCGTACTATATAGGTAAGGATAGTCTTCTGCCCTTTGCGGTCTAGACATCGTGGCTGTTGAACTCAGTATCCCCTTTTAAATCCCTCCTCAAAACCCATTTTTATCTCAAAGTTCAGAGTGCATTTTGACTAGAGTAGCATGGACACTTAGTCTGTGTGGGGGAAACTTCTGAAGCAATTGGAGTCAGAACTCTGAGAGAGACACATGGAGAGCTGGAGCTTTGATGGCAAACACTGACGGTTTATTTGGAGCTTCGACCGGAGAATTCACAAGACATGTCACGGGCCACGGGTTGACCACACGGTTGAGATGCCACAATCAACTCTGAAGAACTCTACCCCAGACCCATGTATTTAGCTAGTTCAGAGAGAATAATCAACGTTGTGCTCAACAAGAAAGAATGATAACACCTCTATCAGCTGACGCCAACAGGCAGGAACAGGGAGGCAAACGACTGAGAGCACAGCAGCCAAGGTTACAGGTGCCTGTGCTCAGTCAGTATGAACTGATAAACTGGGTCAAAGTTATGGGCCTTGGAAATTATTTCCCTAACAGTCTGGACACAGATGTTGCTTTTGAGTGTTAATAATACAATAAAAAAATCTAATCTATAAGGACCATTGTGGTTTGGAGAAATAGCATAAAATCTCGACAAAAGTAAAGTTAAACTACCTTTATGGCCAACTACCACTACAGATAAGTGAAGAAAATGTGTTTTGGTTGAACAAAAACTGATCCTTTTACATTATATTTGAATCTGACCTGCTTTTGGTCCATCATCATCAAGTAAATCAAGTCATTTAAATTTCGATCATTTAAACCCTTTAATCCCCTAACAGGCTGACGTCAGTTTGGCCACTTAGATGCTAATGAGGTTTATTGCATTAGGGATGTTGTTCAAAAACTTCTATATGATATTAGTACAATCGTAATGAGATATGTAATTGTACAACCTATGTAAACCTACTTTGTTTCCTGGGTTCAACATCTTTCAACGTGAAATAAGCACACTCACAATGTGTGTTTGTCCCTCTGCTGTGCTGCGTGTCATTCACTTTTTGAACTATTGCTCGCTGCTGTGGTTTCTGAGATGCCAAACATGCATAAGCAAATTCACAAACACACAGAGTACTAGAAGTGTCTACGCTTACCTTTACCCTACTAACTGCTGGACAGGTATCTGTAAACATTGAGAAACATTTGTTTGTATCTGTATGGGCCTATCAGAAGGAAAGTGAAGGGGCCCTACTGAATAGTAAACCTGACCTGAACCTGTTTTGTGTGAAAATATCAAATACAAGCACAAGCTGTACATTACCTTGTGGACATTCCTGGGGTTTTCCAGCCATGCATAGTACATCTCCTCCACATAGTTAGAGCTAGTGCCATTAAGAAAGGGCTCAGCAGCCACAGATGTGTTCAGGCACCTCACAGGCTTAAACGTCCGTAAACCCCCTTCTATCGCCAAGAGTCTGGGCTGCGATATGCTCAGGGCTGACTGTGCAGCCGTTAAAGGCCGAAGCCTTGCCATTGTAGTCCTTAAGCGATGCATGGCTGCAGATCAGCCACAGCTACTATCCCTCCTTATTCCTGGAAGAAAGATACAGCAGCACTGTCCCCGAACAAAATAGATCCTCCAGGCTCCTCAAAAGCTGCCTTCTTGTTCCTCCTCTGCTGGCTTCTCCTCTTCTTCTGCTCTTTCTCTTCTGCCGGTCGTCCACTGGATCCTGTTGAGGGAAAAAGTAAATATTGGGCAACCGAAACATTGTACATCGTGTGCAACAAGTTAGCAAATCTGAAAAGATAAGATTATGTTTCTGTTACTTTTTAGCAAACGTAAGGAAAATAGGCCTTTTTGTGGAGTTTTGAAGCAGAAGGAGAGTTTATGTATCAAGTCAAATTAAACTACTGTATTTATTGTCATGAAGCTAAACATCAGGGCACAAATGTGGCTCCTTTGTAAAATAGTTTAGTTTGGTGTTGTATTGTCATTTGCACAACCATTACAGAGAGACAGTCGTTGGCAATTGTAGATCTCAGACAAAATGCGTAGAAAATATGTCTACAAATAAAACCATAGTGGGTTAGTTAAATATAATGATAACTTATACCATATATATTGAATTACTATGTGCTGTAACGTCATCTACATGTAACTTATATGTTGTCTAGATCAGATGATAAAACTCAGTACATTAGGTGCTGAACATCCTAAAGATAGACCACCTATACCCATGGGGGAGCGTCCCACTCATAACCAATACATCTGGGTAAAGAACACCCCCAAACAATGGAGATAGAAACTCAGAACAGCAATAAACATACACATGGAAGTATGGTGGCACAAATACGCCAAACGATTAAAAGTGTTGGTACATTAGTTTCAAATGTGCTTTAACCCGTTAACTACGACAACTTTTGGCTTATTTTGTAAGGTTCTAATGGCTCTTATTTAGGTTATTAGGTTGTTAGGTTTAATCGACAAGATGCGAGTGGGTTTTCAATCTGAGCAACTGTTTGTCCGGTAAAACAAGTTCATTCACACATATTCACCCACAGCTCCACGCTGGAGGCAAACAAACTGCATTTCAGTCAATGTAGCCTCGCGTGCAGGACACACAGTCCGTTAACGTAACGTCTCTCTCTTCTAAGTTGACGGCGAAGCTTCAACTTTCGCTATCGTAAACAAATGTCTCGAGTTTGTTACCTTTTGTCACTGTTTTTCGCGTGGCTCTCTGCCCGGGTGAACGAGGAGCAAACTGTCCTAAAATCCAGAGCGCGAGCCGGATGCGGCGTGTGCGAACTAAAAAAACTTACTGCAGCGCGAGAGCTGAGGAGCTGAGTCGCGCGCCCGGGCACTGTCTAATCACTCTAGTGCTGATCTGCGTCACGCGGGTTCGTGACGTCAGCAAAAAGTATGAACTGTCCTCAAATGTGTACTTACAATTGCAACACAGGAGTAAATACTTATACTCTCCTTCGATGATGTAAACATGTACAATATTTCTTAATATAGAATAGTGAAAGTATTCAATTCAAATGTTTTATTGTGATGTGCAAAATCTCTTCAGCGAAGATCTTGGCAATGAAAATATTTAGTCCCTCTTCCAACAGTGCAGCAGACAATAAGACTTAACATAACAAAAATAAATAACAGAGTGCAAGAACTATAGTGTAAATTACAATTGTGCAAATAAATATGCATGAGTATTTAAACTGTACATGTCAAATTGAAGATAGGACAGAATGTACAATAAAATAATATTGGAATAAAATACTGCCTATTGTATAAATATATAAATATGTGGATTGTTAACAGATGTATGAGTTATAAACAAATGAATAAATGAATTTGAAGACATCTAAAGAGCTCAGGAATTCATAAATCTTATTGCTGTAGGAAAATGTTTTACCTGAGTCTGTTACGATAATAGAAATATGAAAGTAAAAGTAGCCCCAAATTATGCTTTAGGCTTTAAATGATGTACTCTTCCTACTACTAACCCCCCTAACCCTATATAAGAGCAAACAACTTTTTAGCCAGATCATTCAACCACCATTTCCCTGTAAATGTCATAACAGTATGTCTGATTTCCTGACTGCTGATTTACAACATGATTTGTTACAGGTTGTACTTTAACAGCAGGTACATTAATATGTTCAGCTTCATTGCTTCCTTTAATAGATGACTGCATTAAAGGCACTGACTGCCTGGAACAGAGCAATAAACGTCAACCTTTGTCCTCCTGACGCTGATTATGTGAAGGCAAGTTAATGAACTTCCCATCCTGATAATGTTAACATTGCTTTTACTATTTGAATGCACCGAGAGAGTATTTATCACACCTTCATATTTATTCGCTTATCTATATAGAAGATCTTAAATGATAAGAGTATAAAGATTTAATGGCATAAAAGGGAAATAGTTTTAAAAAGTTGTATTCTTCGGATCAGATGTTTGATCAACACCAACCACTGATTCCTTATATTGAGCTCTTTCTGCTCCAACATGTTGAACTGTGCCCTGTAAAAGTACAGGCAGATGGTAATTGACCAGTAAAATCACTAGACGGATAAAAGCACATTCACACAAAGTACATAATTTGCATTGTCATTTTATTGATTCACACACTGATTACATCTGATCACATTTGAATATTGATTAGACTTGGAATGCACACTATTGTCATCATTTTCAGTATAAGTATAATACATTTTTAAAAGAAACAAGAAAAGCTTTGTTTTACATACAGGGGCATTCATTTATTGTCATTAAGATGTCTCCTGATTGTGTAAGGCTCTTTTAAAACAGTTAAAATAGTGTTTGAGATAAACAAATACTAAATAATGGAATAAGAATTGTTGGTTGAATAAGAAATTAATGACCAGTGGCCTTTAAAGCACTGGTAAGATTAGACAGTACAGGAAACTGTTCTGGTTTGAAGACCTTTATGCTATACAAATTATAATAAAAATAAACAGAAATCAACCTGCACCCAATGCTGTCTCCACTTACAAAGTATTCATTTGTTTTTTTTAATTGTATTTCTTAGGTATTTAGTTATATTTAATCCTTTGTACTCTTATTTGCATCCTTCTTAGTTTTACACAGGGAAAATTAACCAAAGCAATCGTAATAATCTTTAAATGTAGTTTGAAATGAAGTTACAGGAGATCTGACAACTGTCTGTATTGGTTTGTCATTGTGTCTTACTCACACTCTGCTTATTATACTTAGAAGTCTAACTCTCACCAAACAGATCACATTTGAATTTTAAACCCTGCATTTGAACTCAGATATGCAGTAATTCTATGTAGTTAGACGTTGGCGCCCTCTTGAGGAAAGATTGGTGTATTGTCAGGAAACCGGAATAAGATATTTCCTGTATTACACAGCACTTTTTAGATGCATGGTTCTGACTGGACAGAAACCTTTTTATTGGGAAATTATAACTGAATGAATAAAAAATATATCATTTTGTCTGGTCAATTGTTTTTTTAGTCAGGATTTCTAAAATCCTGAGAAAACAATCCTGATATAATTGTATTTATGTGCTTTCCAAAAATATTTTGGGGTATTTTATTTAAAAGTGCAGTTAAGTAGACAGCTTCATTTAAGAAAATTAAATACATCTGAATTTAGCCCTAATGGGAACTTTTAGTTCAGTAGCATTTGCTTCAGTCTGGTCTAAAAAATAAGAGTTGGCATCTCAGTGTTTTTGTCTTTGATAAAGTTAAGAGACATTTTGAAACTGGATCCAGTCATTTCTTTTAAAGGCATATTCTGTCATGATCCTCACCAGTTTACTCATATAGTACACTATTATACTAACACAAAAAATAGTTTATGCACTTACAAAGCCCACAAAATAGAGGCAATAGATTATATCTCGCTAGCAGTTGAGTCCAAAAAGAGAAAAATCAATAAAATGCACGATAACACCCAACTTACCAATGTTATTAACTTGGAATATCATGCAATTAAATACCATCTACAGCATAATTGTAGTTAAGTCACCACGATGAAACTGGAAATGTACAAAAACAGCGTGATACTATAATTTCAACCATTGTCATAATTTCTGTAGTTAGCTTGCAATGTTCAGTACATAGAGAATCAGTTAAGAACAACAGTAATATGTTAGCATGCTGCATGTTTTTCACTGTCTCACAGAGCGGCTTAGAGGGGTCCGGTCAACAAACGGAGGCGTCGGTTTGGGGTCAACTACACACCAGAGGAAAGCAGGATAATAACAAACAGAAAACTCCATTGAAGAACAAAACAAAACGGATAATTAAATATTCCCACCGGTGTCTCTCTGTGAGACATGCGGTACCGTTTGTTCATTTCACACAGGCAGCATTAGTCGTGCAGAAAAACAGCCACAGGGAACAGAGGTAAGAGTCATGCTCGTCATAAAAAAAAGAAGAAGATACCAGAATAAAATGTTTAAAATGACTGATAAATATACTGTACAGTTGAAAGAGCACAACAATAGACTGTAGCCATAATAATACTAGAAGTTAAGTGACAATAATTTATGTTTGAGAATAAATAAAAAGGTAAATCTTCAGCAGGAGAGTGCACCGCTGGAGGCTTCGCAGCACAGGGGACAGATGTTGTCCAGGTGTGTTGGGCAGCTGCAGGGAACTGAAGACATGACGCAGGCTATAAAGAGTTTCCTTTTTCTTTTGGCTGATACGCCCTCTGCTGTAGTGTAGGTTTTATGATGGTAGCATAGGTGTTACTGTCCGTTGTTGAGGTTGCGGAGAGAGAACAGCGAGATGGGTGTGCAGAACCTCTCTCTCAGAGCTGCTCTCTCAGATTTTCGATTTATTTCTTCTTTGTTCCTCACGGCTTAATCATCAGTCTCTTTTATCTGGTAAGAAAGGAGACAAATAGTTATATTTAGCTGTTTAAACCTGCTATGGGAGAGTTGTTGGCCACTTGGGGGCACTGGAAACAAGTTTTAAACACAACACTGACATAATACAACATGAAGCTAAAACCTGTTAGCTGACAGTGGAACTTACACATACGTTCAAAATGTACTCTGTGTAGCTGTACACAAACTAAATTATGTAGAGTATGTTTACGCGTATGGTTCATTTAAAAAAAAAAAAAAAAAAAAAGTCTATTATAGGTTTATCAAAAATAAATAGGGAAGAGCCCCTAGTTGCATACCCCCCCAGCCTTTCTTCCCTTCCGTTTCTTTTTTTTGTTTTTGTGAACTAAGTATTTTCCATCTTTACTAATGTATATAAAAGCCAGAAAGCCAATGCACCCTGCCAAGAAATAGTCAACACAGCACATGACCTCCATTGAATCACAACATGCCATTTATAAAAATAAACAAAGAAAGGAAGAAACATGCACATCAGTAAGTTTTAGGGGTGTTTTTTGATTTGGTTAAACTTTGGACAGAGCAAGGCTAGCTGTTTCCCCCTGTTTTCAGACTGTATGCTAAGCTAGGCTAAGTGTGTGTGAGTGTTGACTGTGCACCTCATCCCTGCAGCGGGGCAGCGGGGGCTCCTGAGCAGTGGAAGTGGACGTTCTGCCACCGGCTCTCCCTGCGGTGCCATACTCTGGTCTCTTCTGATTGGCTGGAGCGGGGATGTCCCTGCACGTCCACAAACTGGGTCAGGCGGATGTAGGCGATGCAAGCGGCCTCGTCCCCAATCATGTGCACGTGAGGGTTGAGGATGGTGGTGTGGATGGGTTTGCTGTTCTTGGAGAGGACTGATGGGAGAGACGGATGAAATGTTAGAACATTTGAATTAACCAACAAATCAGTCTCTAATGGATGGAATCATTTTAATTAGTAGTCTTACGATTGTCAAAGTAAAATCTATGGAAGTCCATCCCCTCCACCAGATTACCCAGCCCCTCCGGCTCGAATGAGGTCAGACCGGGGTCGCAGATCTTCCTGTAAAAAACATGCCGGATAAGGCCAGAAAATCTCCTTTAAATGTCATCATCAATCATCAATTATGCTTGTGAATGATGCTTATGCTGGTACAACTCCTGGTTAGTGAACAATAATAATGCAAACTATTATTTTAGCAATTATTGTACACAATTATATAATAGCAGAACAGGAAGGAAATGTTCTTTGCACCATTTTGATGACATCATAGTACCATTTTGCGGTATTGTGATGGGAGAAGAAACTAATGGAAAGTCAGACATGAAATTATAAAGGCTTAACTTTTATTTATTTTACTTAGTATCTCTTAACTCTTAATGTTAAACACTTTAAATTTTGTCCCTAAAAAGTTTTCATCATGATTTTG